CTATCACAATACAGGTGCTCTCATCCAAACTACCATGATGTAATCCAACTGTAATCCCAAACATCAAAGAACCACACAGCTGTCATGTGTCACAAACACACATACACACACTCTCTCTTCAAAGACTTTTGCAATGTGTGTTTGGCTAAAATTAGCTCCTTACTCATTTTTGAGGAAAAATGTCATTCATTTTTAAAACACTGTTAAAGATATTGTAACATTTCTTAGTTGGCTTGGTTGTTTTTGGCTTTTGGCTCTGTGACAGACATTCTGGCCATATGGTTCAGCTTGAATAAGGCATAAGACCTCCTTGTGACCTTTCAGAGTGTATAAACAAACATTTGCATACACATATGCACAAACACAATCATATGACTGTGTAGCAAATGGCATTCAGGAACACAGCAGTTTATCTTGCATTTTATCTGTTATTAAGTACACAAACAGATAAGCTCATAGCAGCTTGTATCATTATGTTAACAAGCTTGTGCTATTATATGCATTATTTACACATATACACATTATAATTATATTATATATAGAAGTTCAGTATTGTTGTTTACAGCATTGTATTTTATCATTATAACAGTAGCCATCTGCTGAATAAAATTGCTTTTAACAATGTAGCCATGCATTCTAAAGTATATAGATTGCTATTTTAACAGTCTGACTAGGTTTAGCATGAAGTTAGAGTTATCTAGTTAGAGTTATCTAACATAAGAACTGTGGAGTGACATTTCAGTCATGATTCCACTATCTTTAACACAGTTCCATGAGACGCTACAGAATATCTACTTTTAATGAAGTGTCAACCTATTGTAACAATTAACATAATTTTACATATACATTTTCATAGTATTGTATTCAATAAAACATGTACTTCAGGCTAGTATTGCAAACAGGACAACTCCGAAATACCATTGTTAGTCAGTGTCATTCACTGTGTTTTGAGCTCTGACCACTATGTGGCATTGTGTTTATTGTTAGTGTTAGTTTGCTTGAGAGAGCTACAGATCCTGTAGTGCCTATGTTTACATATAAAAATAAATATATTGATTAATTGAGTGAGTGGTTGATTAAATAACTGAATTAATAAAAGTATAAATGACTGACTTAATTAATGAATGAAGGAAGGAATGATTTTAACCTCAAGCTGTCCTACTTAGCTTGAATATAGTACAACAGTGCCATCACATGGCTACATTAATTAATGCACAAGTGTTTTTTTTAGATACTTTCACAGGGTAGTTTTATTACAGTTATCATATACACATGAATTCTACACATTCCAAATTTTATTTTTGTAATAATAACATAACACTTTATATCACTTTTGAACAATTCATGATCTGACGACAAACAACATGACAAAAATCTAAATTGTCCTACTAATGACCTAACCACACTTTTAGGAAACTTCTGCAGGAGACATTTTAGTTAATTCTTTGCTTAGCAAGTAGCACAAGATGTATCATGCCAGTAGCAGTAAGTTTAACAGTCACTTTAAATGCAAGTAATTCAAAGTGTTTTTAGCTGTGCACACGTGTTTGTAAGTGCCCTTATATTGTCTATTTCTTTTTCAGGGATGCCATATTTCCTCTCTTGCATGAACTGAATGCCTTAATAGGTGCATGAGGGTAAGTTTGTTCTATGTGTAAGTACAGAACGTTTATAGACTGATACATATGTCTTTGAGTCTGAGTTTGAGTCAGGGCGACTGAAAGTCTGTGTGTAGAATGATAAGATGATTCTTCCACCCTATGCAAGACATATCTTCACACCTTTCCCTCCAACCAACCTCCTCAGCTCCAGCTGGAAGTCACTCCACTCCCAGAGCACAAAAAGATAGATGTTTCTTTTCTAAATACCAATTACACTGCATTTTAATCAGCTACTCTTGGTAATGCTGTTCTAGTACTGTTGTCATTGTGTAACTGATCAGCGTTATAGCCAGTAGTGTAATTTTAGTTACAAGGTGGCATCAAATAGCTGCCATTCAAACTAGCTGACCTGATATCAGAGAAAGTTATGAGATCTGCATACCAATCTACATGTTATATTAATATACAATATATGTTACACTCTCTGCCTTAAAGAGAAATAGTCAAATAGTATGACTTACGTTCTTCTGTGGAACATAAAAGGTATTTTTAAAGGGATTATTTTGTGTGTGTGTGTGCGTGCGTGCGTGCGTGCGTGCGTGTGTGTATATATATATTTGTTGATTGAATATACAAAAAATATACAAATATTAAACGAAGAACTTGAACTTAATAAATAAAAACACAAAAATTAGAATACTAAAATTCTTACAATTAAAACTGAAATGAAAATACTTCAAAACTAGTGCTATATATAGCTATCTATATTTTTATTTTGAAAATATTAAAAGCTAATTCAAATATGAATAAAAACTATATTGATATATTATATTATTATTAATATTACTTTTTAAACTGCCTTCAGAATGTGTCCTTTGATGAGAAATTCTATAAGTCCACAATGAGTCAAATCTTGGCGACTATACTGTCGAACATATGCAGCAGTGCAAAAGAGGTTCATCTGAAAGGAGAAACGTGAAGAGGGCACACAGAGAAAGAGAGAGAGAGGACTACAGGCAGAGACAGGCGAGGAGAAGAGCCGGCCAGCTCTGCTGACTCAGGACATTTCAAAAGTGTTGATTTCCGCTCCATTTCTCCAGCCTCTTTGTAATTCTTATGAGAGTGTAAAAGGTGTCAGGAGCCAGAGAGGGAGTAGACAGAAGAAGATAGGGTGAAAGAGAGCAGATCAGATTAAATATCGACTGACTTCAGGCTGTCTGATGCAGACAGGCAGTGTACTGAGTCATCATCTGTATACCCTGCCAGCTCGGCTGAGGAGGAGAGACAGAAAGAGGATGAGCAGACAGAGCCGGGAGGGAGAACGAGGAAGAGAGGACTTACCCAGGGGAGAGTGAGGAGAGCAGCGAAACGTTGGGATTATTTTGTGTGTGTGTGTGCGTGCGTGCGTGCGTGCGTGCGTGTGTGTATATATATATTTGTTGATTGAATATACAAAAAATATACAAATATTAAACGAAGAACTTGAACTTAATAAATAAAAACACAAAAATTAGAATACTAAAATTCTTACAATTAAAACTGAAATGAAAATACTTCAAAACTAGTGCTGTCAAATGATTAATCGCATCTCAAATAAAAGGTTTTGTTTACATAATATATGTGTGTATATTATGTATATTTATTATGTATATATAAATACAAACGCATGTATATATTTAAGAAAAATATGTTATGTTTATATATTAAATACATTTTTATATAAAATAGAGAGAGGACTACAGGCAGAGACAGGCGAGGAGAAGAGCCGGCCAGCTCTGCTGACTCAGGACATTTCAAAAGTGTTGATTTCCGCTCCATTTCTCCAGCCTCTTTGTAATTCTTATGAGAGTGTAAAAGGTGTCAGGAGCCAGAGAGGGAGTAGACAGAAGAAGATAGGGTGAAAGAGAGCAGATCAGATTAAATATCGACTGACTTCAGACAGGCAGTGTACTGACTCATCATCTGTATACCCTGCCAGCTCGGCTGAGGAGGAGAGACAGAAAGAGGATGAGCAGACAGAGCCGGGAGGGAGAACGAGGAAGAGAGGACTTACCCAGGGGAGAGTGAGGAGAGCAGCGAAACGTTGGGCTTGTGTCGTGAGGGAGGAGAGACCAGCATGAGTAGGCGAGACAGAAAGCATGCTGTCAGGTAATGAAGGGAGTGAAAATAAGAGATGGGATGAGAAGAAAGAAAAAGCAACAGTGGCTGGACGGAATACAAAACAAATACAGGATCGAAACTAGGACCACTCAGATGAACATTTATTAAAGAGGCTGGAGATCTCTGGGAAATGAGAGATAAAGGATGTTTATAAATGTATACCAGTATAACTATGCCAACATATAGATCTTATACACGATATGAAGATGAAAAATTTGGTTTTGAAATAGTTTAAAAACTGACCTAATATAAAAAGTAACACCTACTAACTAACTAACTAACTAGTTACTCAACATAGTATCCATTCTTCTCTGTAAACCCATTGCTCTGAGAGCAAAGAAGAACTATTCTGTCTAAAAAGATATAGGCCTACCAGCATGAGTAGGCGAGACAGAAAGCATGCTGTCAGGTAATGAAGGGAGTGAAAATAAGAGATGGGATGAGAAGAAAGAAAAAGCAACAGTGGCTGGACGGAATACAAAACAAATACAGGATCGAAACTAGGACCACTCAGATGAACATTTATTAAAGAGGCTGGAGATCTCTGGGAAATGAGAGATAAAAGATGTTTATAAATGTATACCAGTATAACTATGCCAACATATAGATCTTATACACGTGCTTTTAGTGTCTGACATAAAAAAAAAAAGATGCTATAGTGTCTTTACACATTTTTTTCCTTAAATTAATAATGCTGCTTTGGTTGTATGAGTATTACAATCATTTTATATTCTCGTTAATCCTTTCATTTTTCAAAACTTCTTGTGATTTTTGTGAATGTGTATTTATGCCTCCTCTGGGCCCCAGCAAACCCCCAGTGGGGTCACAAGATGACTTAAAATTATTCAAATTAATGTATTATTATTATTATTATTATTATTATATCATTAACACATCATTTTACTATTAATTTAATTCAAATGAAAATCAACAAAAATATAAAACATAAATCACATAAAATTTATGTTTTTTTTTTCTTTCTTTCTTTTACAATATTGGGTAAAACACCACTGGGTAAAAATGGCATTACAATTTACGATTATTTGGAGGAATAAAACAAAAACAACACAAAACATTTACTTGACAGTTTCTTAGCCACGTGTAAGTTTAAGTGCGGCCACAAGATGGAGACAAATAAAAAACAAAACACTGAAGGAAACACGGTAGTCAAATAAGGAAATGACGTGAGGTGTGCAGTATTTCTTCTTTGGGTAGCCAGGGTGCTGGAAAAGCTTTCATGGGGCAGTTCTGCTACAGTTGTGACATGACCGATAGTAAGAAACGACAGTCAGCGAGAGCACGAAAGCAAAGGTAAGAATTACTGTTAGGACATAAAGAGGTGAGAGAAAGGCAGTGGAAGCGTGTGATTTCCATCTGCTCGTGTGTCAACACGTGTAACTTTTTGTCACCACCAAATATAGACACCTTTAACCTCAGCACGGTAGCAGGAACACGTGTAAGAACTTTTGGTCCAAGTAAATCCAGTAAGTAATGAGAATGAAGGTTAACAGATGCAACTGTACCACAGTCAATTTTGCAATAACTATTTATTACTTTGTACATATACCTATTTTTTAATCTATCCAACAGACTAAAATGTTAGTGAGTGTGGATATTGATATATACTGTATGTCCTATATTTATCCATGCTTACATTTTGTTAGTAGACTACATGTTGTAATAACTTAGCAGTCTTAGTCTGTCAGCCTGCTGTGAAGTGATGCTTCCTGACAGCTGAGCTGCATTTGGATCCAGGTGTCTGAATATGACATGTTTCAGCTCTTTAGGTCTCATTCCAGGCTAAATATTTGGCTCTTGATCATTTCATTGAAATTATATTTTCATTATCATTATCCATACAACTCAAACATTGTCTTACTGACATAATAAATCATTTATTCAGTGAATGCATGACTAGTACTACAAAACTAGTACTAAAAATTGTTGTGATGTGTGTCCTGCTAGATGAGGATGGTTGTGCCTAAGGTTTTCCCACATACAACAACCTATGGAGTTTTTCCCCCTGCTGGCCACATTCACCTTTCTCATTGGGGGCATGAATGAATGATTTTATGTAAATATGATCTAAAACGGTCTGTGTTGTGAAAAGCACTGTACAGAAACTTGACTAATTGCAGTTGATTATAACATTTTCATAAGAATGCAACTGATTCATTTTATGAGATACTAATGCATTTTACACTGCACAGAAGCTTCTTCTGAAGCAACACTTATGCCACGGAAAGATACATTTATACTGACTTGTAATGCAGCAGAGACGGCATAAATAGGCCTACGTTTACACAGAAACTACAATTGCAGAAAAAATGTTATGAAATTGTTTTAAATATGAAGCAATGCATATAGAAACATGCAATATAATTGAGAGTCTACCTGTAATATATAGTCTTACATAAATGCAAATATGATAAAACTTTATTATAAATGAATTTCTCATTCAGATCTGTGGTAAAACTAACTAATTTTGATCTCTGTGGTCAGGAGTTGCACAAAGATGGAAGACTGTTTGATAGAAGACCAGACAACCTTTTACTCAAAGGCAGAACACTATTGGAAGGAAGTCCCGCCCACTGTGGATGGAATGCTGGGGGGTTATGGCAGCATTTCTAGCATTGACATTAATGGCTCCAAAAAGTTTCTTCAGAAATTCCTTGGGGTGAGTTGTTCTAAATTAATACTTTAATTCGACAAGCACAAATGAAAAATAAAGACATTTATAATGTTACAAAAGGTTTGTATTTCAAATAAATGCTGTCCTTTTGAACTGGCTTTTCATCAAAGAATTTTTAAAAAAGTATCAGTTTCCACAAAAATACAGCACAGCTGTAAAATATATTAAAACAAAAGTTTTTTAATTGTAATAACATTTCACAGTATTATAGTTTTTACTGTATCTTTTTTATATATATAAATTAATGCAGCCTTGGTGAACATATGAGACTTCTTCTTATGAAGTTCCTTCCCAAATTTTTGAACGTTAGTGTAAATATCTACAAGTAAGTCTACTATTCTGAATTCTAGTTCACTGTCAAGTCTTATAAACTGATTATTTGAAAGAAATATTACGAGATGGACTGTAACCTTTCCCACAATTACTCAACCTTCACTTAACCACAAATGAAAGTTTGTGAGAAACACCCAATCACTTGGTTTTCTGTTTTACTCCAAGGAAGGCCAGGGTAAGACTGGGACAGGCTGTGCTCTGGACTGTGGCGCAGGAATCGGCCGTATCACCAAGCGCCTGCTGCTGCCCCTCTTCCATACAGTGGACCTAGTGGACGTGACACAGGAGTTTCTGGATAAAGCTCGTTCCTACCTGGGTGAGGAGGCCAAGCAAGTGGAGAACTACTTCTGCTGTGGCCTACAAGACTTTCAGCCCCAGGCAGAGCGCTACGATGTCATATGGATCCAGTGGGTGATTGGTAAGGCATACAATTCACTTCTTTCACTACATTATCTATAAACAGAAATGGTGAAAATGACCAAATGTATCTTCTATCATATTTTGCAAACACAAATCACTCCATGTGTCTCTAGGTCACTTGACCGATGACCACCTGGTGGAATTCCTGAGGCGTTGCCGGAGCGGTCTGCGTCCAGATGGCCTGATTGTGGTGAAGGATAATGTTGCGTTTGAAGGTGTAATACCTGATGATGTTGACAGCAGCGTGTGTCGGGACCTGAATTTACTACATCGCCTAGTAGCCCGGGCCGGACTCAACATCATCTGTGAGGAGCAGCAGCAGAACTTCCCTGAGGAAATCTATCAGGTCCACACTCTAGCACTCAGATAGCTGTGAGCACTGAACGAGGGGGGTTTATGTGTTTGTTCGGAAGCCAATAATGTGAGAACAATTTAAGATCAATGTTAGCTACACAAGAAGCTACGTGTTGCTGCCAATGTGATCACCATTTTTTTTAAAAAGGCACAAAACTTAAAGGTGACATTGGAACCTTGGGGATTTTAAGCAGGGGAGTTTTACTTGACCTCTAGAGTTTGTAATATAAACAGCTAGGGTTCATCGCTATTACGAATCTGAATGCAAAAGTGACGAATGGGAGCTTTTCAGATATCCAAACAGTTTTACACTCCAGTTGATCCTCAGTTTGAAGTGTGGAAGTTTGAAACAATCAAGAAAAAATGTAAACCACGCACACTGCTTTGTTTTTAGCAATGGGTGTGCTGAAGACTTGAAGGGACAGTTGACCCAAAAATGAAAACGGTCATGTTTTCACCCTCATGTTGTTCCAAACCTGTATTACTTATTTTCTTCTAGTGGATATAAAAGATGATATTTTTGGAAATGTCTGAGTGTTTTTTTTTTTTTTTTGGTCAATGGTCACCAAATCTGTGTGCTTATCAACATTCTTCAAAATGTTGTTTATTTTGTTCCACAAAGTCATACAGGTTTGGAATGATATGATTGTAAGTATTTGATGACAGAATTGTCATTTGGGGTGAACTTTCCTATTTAAGACTGTTTAATCAGAGTTCAACATGTGTCTGTGGCACTGAATGGTGTGTGTAAAACATTTTAGTAACTTATATGGCAGTTTGAATCTATACTAGTTGTTACATGAATTTACAGCTGTTGACAGAAAAGTCTTATCTGAACCATGTGCTGTATTTTGCCTTGAATAAACTAATATTTTGGAGCAGTGTTTGTATGACAGTGTTATTGTGTATAACAGGTTCTCAACATTTTTGGCTTGAAGGCTCCTCATTGTCCCTATATTTGTAAGATAATCACGGTCTGTCTGCTGTAATTATGACAAAGCTGCTTGTTTTCAAACTTTTTATTAATATATTTAATAACCTTAGCACTACTGTTTCAGAAAAACAATAGTTATTGAGGGAAAATAAAAATGACTTAAGCTTCCATCTTGATATTTTTAATTTGTTATATTTGGATTATTTTAATATGTATTAATAATGTTTTAGAAATTTAAATACTTTTAAGTCATCCCGTGGTCACCTTGACAGTCTGTGGAGGTCCTCTGATTGAGAACCACTAATGCAGAATATACAAGTGTGAGATGGATATGGACATATAGTTTGGTCAATATTTATTTTATGAAATTAAAAAAAAAAAAGAACAACTTTGGTTTCAAGTCTTTATCACTTTATCCTTTAGTTTTATACAACAAAACTGGAAAACTGGAAGCAGTAACTACCTAGTTTACAGCTAATATCAAATCAAATTCATGGTCTAGTTGTGTGTGTGTGTGTGTTCATATTAACTTCAGTTACACTTATTACACTTACAGGCCCCAGCTGTATTGTTAAAGGCAGTGGGGAACAACTTGGAAGAAGAAAGTGGTTGGACCACAACTCTTAAAACCATTTAATCTCAGTCAAGACTCACTTTCACACATGAGGCTGTTGGTTATTAAGGCTATGTGCTTAATAGAGAGATCAGGACCAGGTGTCACTTTGAAAGAGTTTTGCTTTCTCCATGGCATCCAGCATCTCCTGTGCCTGGTTTTCTGACATGCCACCCTCTTTCTGGAATACTTCTTTCAGTGCGTCACACACACTTGCGGGCATCTGCTTGGCACTCCTGGGTGAAAAGTTAAAAGAAACAAGACTGATAAATAGAATTTAGGATACAGTTTATAGGAATTATTATTATTATTATTTTTTAATAATATATATTTTTTTGTCTATAGTTCTCAAACTTCCAATCATTATGCGCTCCACACTCCTATCCAGTAGGTGGCGGGAATGCACCATTTAAGTTAGTTTGCCAACTGCCATTAACACCAGAAGAAGAAGAAGAAAAATGGCGACTGGGAAGAGGTGTTTGTTTACAGTTATTAATGCGATTATAACGGCTCTTATCATAGAAAGTCAATGTCGACTCCATCATCTCGTACTTAAGGTATGTGTGTGCTGTGCTTGAAATGTTTTTATTAAATATTCGTATAGTCACTGTATTGTCGTCACTGTTGTTTAAAGCAACGGATGTTGCCTTATGATTCATCAGTCATAATAACCGTTTTGTTGTTATAATGCAAGTGTCATTAAACAGATGATAATTCAAACGCATCTCAGCATCTAAATGCCCGTGCGCCACTAAACAGACTTGTTCTGTCTCAGGATGACATCCGTCAGCGGGTCCATCTGAACACATTCGGCTTTTATAAAGATGGTTATACGAGTATGAGCATGAACAGCCTCAGCTTCACTAACGGGAAGACGGACAACATTGACAGCTCCACGGTCAGACTCTCTCTCCTGTCTGTCAAATGATCGGCTTTGAGATGCAATAATATGGTGGAATAAATCAATATGAAAATGTCTTGCACGTTATAAATGGACGTTTTTATCTCATCTTATACGAGACTATTTCTCATTATCAAAAAAATTTAAGTAAATGTATATCACCTGCAGTATGTTGATCAGGAATAACTGACTGGGTTTCTTTATGAAATATCTTTCTAATGTACTTTCTCATATTTTACTGGATTTGTTTTTATTTATTTATTGATTGCAGATTGGTTTTAGCCTAGATCGTGCAAGCAATAATGGCTTCTCCACATATCTGGTCAGTATCTGCCTTTAATGTCCATCTGAATCTAATTCTGTGCTTTTGCTGTACAGTTTTGGTATCAGTGTTGTGTACTAAATGTGTCTGTAGATTATTATTGTTAGTTTTAGTTAGTATTGGCATAAATTAACCGCTGTAACTTGGCAATCTTTTAATAGCAGTACAGTATGATTCATACAATGTAATATGTGACCCTGAAACCAGTCATAAGTCGCACGGGTATATTTATAGCAGTAGCTAACAATACATTGTATGGGTCAAAATGATCAATTTTTCTTTTATGCCAAAAATTAAGATATTAAGTAAAGATCATGTTCCATGAAGATATTTAGTAAATTTCCTACCGTAAATATATCAAAACCTAATTTCTCATTGGTAATTTGTATTGCTAAGAACTTCATTTGGACAACTTTAAAGGTGATTTTTCTCAGTATTTTGATTTTTATTATTTTTTTCACCCTCAGATTCCAGATTTTCAAATAGTTGTATCTCGGCCAAATATTGTCCTATTCTAACAAACCATACATCAATGGAAAGCTTATTTATTCAGATGATGTATAAATCCCAATTTTAAAAAATTGACCCTTATGACTGGTTTTGTGGTCATGGGTCACACATTAGATTAAAGCTAACATTACATTTGCATTCACTGTATGATCTTTCAGTCAAACTGAGTCAGATAACCGATGACCTCTCTTATGAATACGCAGGACGAGGGTCTTGACTACTGTCCTCTGAAAAAGGATCCAAGTAGTAATTTTGCAGGGGTGCTTCTCTTGCTGGACTTCAAAAATAACTTGTGAGTTTTCCCATCTAATTTTTTCCCTCTATGTCTCTCAATTAAAATGAATTTGGAAGTATTATCCAGTTTATGAATGGTCTGTCATGACTTGCAATATCCTCAGAGTGAGGAAGAAGACTTCAGCAGAGGCTGGTGTGTTTCCCAAAATCATACCTGTGGTCCCCAAAAACATTATGGTGGAGCAACAAGCTGAAAAGGGCCAAGATCTCCAAGACAAGGGGCCAGATGATGGATCTCAGTCTAAAAGTAAATCTTATCTTGAAAAGTTTCTTGAACTGTATATCACATCATGGCATACACTACCGTACAATTTCAAATTTGGGGTTAGTACGATTTTTTTTAATAAATAAAATTAATACTTGTATTCAGCAAGGATGCATAAATTGATAATTACAGTAAAGATATTTATAATGTTACAAAAGATTTCTGTTTCAAATAAATGCTGTTTTTTAAAAACGTTCTATTCATCACAGAATCCTGGAAAAAACATCACAATTTCCAGAAAATAATTAAGTAGCATAACTGTTTTAAGAAATGTTTCTTGAACACCAAATCAAGAATATTAGAATGATTTCTGAAGGATCATGTGACACTGAAGACTGGAGTAATGGCTGCTAAAAATTCATTTTGCCATCACAGGAATAAATGCCAGTTTTAAAATATATTCAGAATCAGATAGATAAGTTGTTTTGTTATTTTACCACATTTTTGATCAAATAAATGCAGCCTTGGTGAGCATAAGAGACCATTCTAACAATAGTTTATTAATATTTTCATCCCATTTGTGTTGTAAATGAAAGCCTTTTAACTCCTACAATTTCAATGTTGGTTTTGTATTGCGTTTTTTTATGTCTACAATTCAATTAGATTTTGTGTTTCTCTTCTGTTAATTTGTAGCAGGTTCTAAATCCAAGCGAAATGTTGAGGTGAGGTCTGTTTTTAATTAGACTGCATTTAGTCTGAAATTATGCTCTAAATATGTCTAATTTCTGCATTAACAGACTTTAATGGTATTACTCCCCCCAGAACAAGACAGAAGATACCTATCCTCTTCAGAACAAAGGCAAAGTCTACTCATTTCAGGTGGGACATGAAGTGGTTTTGCTAAGAGCTCATGGGGCTCTGAAGTACATCAAGCTAGTTTCTAGGTGTACTACTTTTAACATCTGCCCAATTGTGCACTCCACTGACTGACCTGTTCTTGTTTTAGTTTTACTTCAATGTCACAACGGATGAGCAGCAAGGCCTTTATAACTTTTATTTCTACAACTGCTACTCTATCCCAATAAACCAGGACAGCTCTTTGTCAGACATGCTGCCTTTCAGCATTGATGTGAGTGTTTCTCTGAGTTCTAAAATGTAGTATCCTTAAATGTAATGAAGTACAAGTCATATAGTACAAGTTTGTACTCAAACAGTAAATATGATTTCAGATCAACATCGAGGAAAAGAATCCAGAGAGCTTTCTCTCTGCAGGAGAGATTCCTTTACCTAAGCTTTACATCTGCATGTCCATGTTCTTCTTTCTCATCGGCACGCTGTGGGTTTATGTTTTGCGTACACATAGGTAAGTGCTACAATAACAGACCCTTATGTACATTTTCTATTTGATGGTTTCATACATGTTACAAGAAATGACCAGTAGAGAGCAGCAAAGTCTCATATTGTCTCCTGTAAAATTAGTGAAGCAGATTTAGTGATTGCTATGTGTGCTTTTCTTTTTTTAGTTCTGATGTTTACAAGATTCATTGGCTGATGGCTTCTCTTCCATTCACAAAGTCCCTTTCCCTTATTTTCCATGCAGTGAGTGTTTACCTCTTTGTTTATATGTGAATGTTAAATGCTTATTTTTTTTTACTTAAAGAACATTATTTTTATCCAAATCATACATCATAAATTAGCAAACGTTGTTAGATTCACAAAAACCTTGCAAATTAGGGGAAATGCAGATTTAAAATGCAGTTACATTTTGCTCTATGAACCACACAAAACTAGATACCCAAGGCAAAAAGCAGCATTACATTGCCTTTGTTTTAACAATTATATTCCTATTTTACAGATTGACTACTACTACATTTCCAATCAGGGCTTTCCCATTGAAGGCTGGGCTGTGGTCTATTACATTACTCACTTGTAAGTTCACCAATATTAAGTGTGGGTGTGTGTGTGAGAGAGATGTAACGGGATAAGACAGGAATAGGGTGAAGTACTGTCATATCAGATTTTCTTTATGCACCAAGAGCTTGTAACACTCCAAAGAGAAAGGAAAACTTGAAATCGCATCATATGACCCCTTTAAAAAAGGACTGACTTATGTACAGTTATGTTTTTGCTCTCATGACTGGAATACACAACACAACCTTTAAAATCTGAGCAGATTTTAAAACACTAGGCATCATATACTTGCTGACTTTAAAAATGGTTACAGGGTAAAAAACTGGACCTTATACACCAACCGACTAATGTTCAAACACTACTACACTCTTGTCAGCTTGTTTGATATCCTTCAAATTAATTCATTGTCTGAAGCTGAAAAATTCAGAGTCTGTGCCTGTGCATTACACAATTTTATGTGAAATCGATCAATTCTGACTTCCCAAAATCTACACATTGGCTTTGACTTTCAGCAACTAGTGGTGATTCTTCGAGACTGCAAATCGGGGCAAAAATCTGGACAAAAGTCATGTAGTGCAGTGATTCTCAATTCCAGTCCTGGCGACCCCCCACTCTGCATACTTTGCATGTCTCTCTTATTTAAAACAACTAATTCAGCTGACCAGCTCATTAGAAGAGAGCTCCATGAATGAACTGTTCCGATTGACAGTGTCCCTACACAGTGTTCATTGCTCCCTGAGCACTCCATTGAAGTTTACTTCACTTCAGAACATTCATTCACGGATTTGCGCTACACCACAGCCTGCAGCGTCTTCACACACAGACGAAACTTACTAGAGAAGTGTGACATAATTATACCTCTTTAAATAAATACAATTTAAATTCACGGCTCGCACACTTTAAACGGCCTTTGAATGGAACATATACACTCCCTTCGAACTAAATATCCTGTGATGTCCTGTGAATAGAACAAACATCTTAAGTGATAAGAGATGCATACAAAATGTGCAGAGCGGGCATCTTGAAGACTGGAATGGAGACCCACTGATGCATTCCAGACTTTGTTTTAAAAAAGGTTCCTTCGGTTGGCTTGTTGATTAGGTGGGTGTAAACTTGTTTTTTGGATTAAAACGACTGTACTGTTGTCATGATTTCTATAACAGTAATTCAGCAATATGAGTGGTTTGTTTAATTTTGCCGAATGTTTTCATTTATGCAGACTGAAGGGGGCACTGTTGTTCATCACTATAGCATTAATAGGAACTGGCTGGGCCTTTGTCAAGCATATCCTCTCAGATAAAGACAAAAAGATCTTCATGATCGTCATTCCCCTGCAGGTATTGGTCTTTTTTTTATTTTTTCAAAAGAGTAGGTTGTTAATTAAATTTTTAAGCTAAACTACTATTCTTCAGTTATGAACGTAACGTGATCTTGTTGGTCTTGTGATATCAGGTTCTGGCCAATGTGGCATACATCATTATTGAGTCCACAGAGGAGGGTTCCAGTGAGTATGGTCTGTGGATGGAGATCTTGTTTCTGGTAGATCTGCTGTGCTGCGGGGCTATTCTCTTTCCAGTTGTCTGGTGAGTGCTCTGCATCTTCGTGGCCCAGATTGAATGTTCTATACCATAAATTATATCATTTCTTGACTAATCGACTGATGTCTGTATTGTTTGATAGGTCAATAAGACATTTACAAGAGTCATCAGCAACGGATGGGAAAGGTATGTCGAACATTATCAGAGCACTTTCTGGTCAACAGTTCATTCTGATATAAAACTTGATCATCACATGTACCATTTTCAATTTCACAGTCATATGTCACAATGTTTAATCCATTTTAAATGAAATATTGCGGAAAGTACGTATTTTTAATCTTTCCAAATGCTTTTCTTGGTCGTGTGAGCTGTCCTCCTTCACATTTGGCTGTTCTCTACATGCTATTCAAGAGACTTGGTCTTTATGGCTTGAAATTTAATTGTGCTGTCTTCCAGAATACAACAGTTCTAGATATGCTGCTCTAGACATACGTTAACCAAATAGTAAATCCTGCAATGTAAATGCAAAACAGCTCTCACTTACAGCCTTAGTCTTTGATATTTTTTTTAAGTTGTTGTTGTTGTTGTTTAATAGAAATTAATACTTTTATTCAGTAAGGATGCATTCATTTCATCATAAGTGACAGTAAAGACATTTATAATGTTATAAAAGATTTCCGTTTCAAATAAATGCTGTTCTTTTGAACTTTCTATTCATCTAAAAATCCTGAAAAATGTGTTATAGTTTACACAAAAGCATCAAGCAGCATAACTGTTTCTACTGTGAAAACAATAAGAAACGTTTTAGTGAGCACCAAATTTGAATATTAGAATGATTTCTGAAGAATCATGTGACACTGAAGACTGGCGTAATGGCTGCTGAATAATCAGCTTTACCATCACAGGAATCAATTAAAATAAAAGTATTTTTAATTATAACAATTTTTCACATTATTACTGTCTTTACTGTATTTTTTATCAAATAAATGCAGCCTTGAAAGAGACTACTTTAAAAAGAAACGTACGATCCCAAACTTTTGAGTATGGAGAATTCTTCAAGTCAATACATTTAAATGATTTGCCCATTATGAGCACCAATTGTTTGTATTGCTTTTGTGTTGTTATGATGCCATAAGTCAGATGAACTGGGGGAGAGAGATCAGCACTCAAAATGAAGCAGGTTATTCCCTTAGCCCAGGGTTCCTCAAATCTTGCCCTGGAGGGCCAATGCGCTGCAGAGTTTAGCTCCAACCCGGATCAAACTCACCTACCTGTGATTTTCTAATGATCCTGAAGACACTGATTAGCTTGCTCGGGTGTGTTTGATTAGGGTTAGAGCTAAACTCTGCAGGAAAGTGGATCTCGTGGGCCAGATTTAAGGATCCCTGCCTTAGCCCCACTGTTTGTGTCCCAATTTTTGCCTCTGCAGAAAAATGAACTCTTATAAGTTACAAAAGTGGAAATATTTAGGCACAATATATGATACATATACTGCAGCACCTTTATATGTTGCCTTGGTGTATTACGACTTCATATAATCCTATACCGAAGAGAAAATATTCTCTCCAGGCAATCACCACCCTTTTTTCCCTCTCGAGTAATCATTGTTTCATTGCTGCCTATCACATTTTTTCCTGCTTTCATCTTCTGCCTATCCCTCGCAGGGCACAAAGATATACTCTTTGATTGCCTTCTGATTTTAACAATTTTCACAGCAGGAGCGAGAAGCATAGTAATTGAAGCATGAAAGGTAAATGGACAGCTCATCCCTTCTCTCACTCTGTTTTAATCGTAATGTTGGCTTCTCTTTCCCTTTTTAGCTGCCATCAATCTGGCTCAACTGAAACTTTTTAGGCACTACTATGTGATGGTATGTATACACCTCACTGTCTCACTGTCATTCTCACTTATATTCAGACACACTGATTTTAAACTGACACATGCCTGATGCTCAGTTCTGTGCAGGGCTGACTGCCTGCCTGTCATGGCATGAGAATTATTAGACTTATTAATTTTGCTTGATTTTAACAGTCACTGACTGAATAAATGCATTTATTATTGAAGGTTTGTGCATGAATGCATTGAGCTCACTTTTTTATTTCAATATTGTAGTTTATTTCACAGTGACAACTTCTTGATTTGCCATTAATTGTTTCTCCAACTTTGCCCAGTGTGGTCCAAAAGTCTGAAACTACTAACCACTGGCATTTTTCCAGTTTAATAGCAATCTTTTTATTCATTTAAAGAATAGAAAAGATATTACGTTAAGTTATTATGAAGTATTTTGTTTAATGCTTCAATGGAAGCAAGAACGTGACCATGAGGAGTTCACTTTATCAATGTCACATTTACTTATTTCGTTATTGACCTAACGAGTCCAAAACCTTAGATAAATTTCTTCTTTTTGGTGCAACTTTGTTTGAAACAAAATCAGACTAGAACACACTGTTTGTTTGATCGTTTGTCTTTGTTAAATGTGATCAGTCATTTGAGACATTAAAACACAAGTATCTAATCCTTTAGATAAGTGTATCACTCCTCTGTCTGTCTCTTTTCTTCTTACTGTCTCTTTCTGTGTCACAGATTGTATGCTATATTTATTTCACCCGCATCATTGCCAGTCTCATCAAGGTCATTGTTCCTTTCCAATGGAAGTGGCTCTACCAGGTGAGTGATGGATACTCAAACTTACATAACAGATTTAACAGCTGGCAGACATCTGTATACTAAGTGTTGTAGAAATATACTAAAAGTGCAGTTCACATTAAGCATAAACTCCTCTATTGATTACATGACCGAAAAAGTTCATGGCAACATATATGTAACATTTTGCATTGTTAAAGGCGTAGTTCAACTAAAAAAAATGAAAATTCTGTAATAATTTACTCACCGTCATGTCGTTCCAAACCTGTATGAGTTTTTCTTATGTTGAACATAAATATTTTGAAATATAAAATATTTTGAAGGATGCTGGTAATTTATATTATACTATATATATATATAGTATTTCTTTCCCTACTGTGGAAATCAATGGGGACCAACAACTGCTTGGTTCTTCAAAATTTTTCTAAATATCTTCTTCTGTGTTCAACATAAGAAAGAAACTTATACAGGTTTGGAACGACATGAGGGTGAGTAAATGATGACACAATTTTCATTTTTGAGGTAATCTATTCCTTTAAGTCTTTTACATTATAGGGGTCTTGAACTGCATTTGTTTTTTATTTTTGTACTGTTCTCTGATGTCTACTTAAAATGTTATAAAAAATTTTGCATCAAAAAACATCTCAATTTAGAAGTAATAGGCTATTTTCTGTCGTAGACTCGGAAATAAACTCCCACTGCTATGATTGGCTAACACTTGTGTATGTTTGACAGCCTACATGCTTCAAAGATGGTCGCTGCTGTGATTTTTTAAAAACGCATAAATACTCCTATCAAACGATCTGTTTAACAGACAAAACAATAGTGATCATGCAATAAAAACAGTTACTTACACTTGTATGTTGCGACGTTATTGTCAGATCCAATATAGTCGGCACAGCATCCTCTTTTAGTTTCAATCTTTCTGAAAATCCTGCGTCGAATTGTGCCTTGTTTGTAAACAAATCTGCGGTAAAACAAAATACCAAGTTCTTACTGATGCAATCTGGAACTTCATTAAAAATAAAGTTCATCCACTCTTTCCTAATGTTGGGATCAGAAGGAAGGCAATGCAAAGACTGTTTTTCCACAACTTGACACTTCAAAGTTTCTTGTTGTCTTTGGAGCCATCTTTATCATTCGTTTTCTACGTAGACCTGTTATTTACACTACGTGCGTGAGTCTGGGGGCGGGGCTAAACAAGCAGTGATGTAGAAGCAGGCGTTGATGTTCTTCCGTGGAGGCGGTGTTTAGCCACACTATCACTTAATAGAGTAGTACATTTCCACAAGCTGTTGTTTTGGCACACTGCCTTCAATATAAGCTGTTTTTAGACTCACAAGAAAGTTTTGAGTTCTGAAACTTATGGGATGGTTTTTGTAGCACAACGACCCCTTATATGTCAAAAGATCAAGGCAATTTTGGTTTCTCAGTTCATGACCCCTTTAAAGCAAGTTAAAGGAGTTTGAAGTCATTATTAGCTTCACTAAGTAAACATGCAGCTTTGCCATTTTAAATGCAATTTCAATTCTCTGTTTGGTTTGATTATTTGGTTGGCCAATGTTCAAACTCCATGAGATGTGAGGCCAATTATGTTTTTCTTTTTCTTTATAAATAACTCTTGACCTGAGCCCACCTTAGGTATCCTGTGTTCCAGTGTCGATTTGTGGCAGTAGTGCCCTTTTGAATGTTTTGAGCCTACTTCAGTAGCTTTGTGAAGTTTTACCTCTAATTCTTAAAATCAATAATATCCAACTATGGTGTTACAAATGCTTATTCAAAACTATTTAAATCACAGAATAAATGAATTGTGGAAAAATCAGATGCATCCCAGTTTGTGTACTTCTGCCCAATTCTATTCCATTCTTCAAATGCACTTAATTAACCCAAAAATATATAATATGGATTGTTGAACACTTAATACATTTAACAGTCACAGCTTTCCTTACATAGCGGACTCCAGTGTTGGATGACAAAAAAAAAATCTTATAAAATGAATACTAGATGATTGAGTACATGGTGCATAGTATAAGTGCATGTGTAGAATGTTTAAGATTAATTAAAAAAAATGAAATTCTTAGTAAAATGGAAAAAAGTATATTGATGGTTTTATTTATTTTTTTGTTCTTTATTTGTAGCTGCTGGATGAGCTGGCCACGCTGACCTTCTTCTTCTTAACTGGACACAAGTTCCGGCCAGCCTCCTACAACCCCTACCTACTGCTGTCTGTGGAGGACGAAGACATGGAGATGGACAATGTGTAAGAAATCATACATAAATGCACTGCAACTGGTTCATATCTACCTTATTTTTAATGTTAGAGTGGGCACTGTTTTAATTGAATGTGCAAGCTTTTCAGCTGCTTCCACATATTTTAGCTGCACAAAAAACAGTCTGTTATGCTGCTTGATGTTGAAAAGTGGTATTTTTTGTTATAATACATAATTATTATTTTAATCATTCGCACTGGTTTAAAGCATTAAGAGTTTTATTTCTTTATTATTCTTCCATTTATTTTAACTATAATGAATCAGAAGCCTTCCACATTCAGCTTACTTCCACATTGAAAAATAAGATGGATGTAACGAAAGACAGGACATTTCAAGAACATTTCACACAAGTCTGAATGGAAGTGAATGGACTGTACCTTGACATGTTTTCATAGCACATCATTCTTTTATCTCAAAAGATCAAGGACAATTTGATTGCTCAAGATGATGTGACTCACTTACAGCACAGAGAGCCAGTGATGACAGATGACTATAACAATGCACAAGAGATCATGAGACTGTCTCATTTTAAAATGAAGCTAATTTCTCTCATTTTTTTGCATTTTACAATAATAAGGGCATCTTTCTTCTATATGTGTTTTCGCGGACAGCATTTCTACATACCGTGACCCTCTTGTGTTCCATTACCAGCTGTGACCTGGTCACACGGACAGGCTTACAATGATCCAGCCACCTGTCATGGCTCTAGAAGAAGCCCAGAGGGGTTCCTCCTGATTGGAGGACCTAGTAGTCTTCCTCATTACATGCCCTAGCTGAGAGCACCTGCCATTCCCCATTTATTTACACAAGCACACCCAAACATTTGCTGCTTATTTCGAAGCATTTTGAGTGGCCTCATCAGGTCAGATGATTCAGTGTGTTTTAATGTCTTCATCTCTTCAGGCTTTGTCATTTTCCCCATCCTTATGATTTTTCTTTCTAAGGTCTCGGGGGATTGCGTTCCTCTCTGCTCCCTATATGTCCAAGTCTTGTTCTGTTCCTTGACAACCACCATCCTCCCCTCCTTCCCCCAAGTCCCCATCTCCCATTCACCCCACATTCAGCATCCCCTCAGGTGGCGTGTGCTCTATCCACCCCCCACCCCGGCACTTCCCAAAATAGCCGTGACTCCATATGTCCTTGTTCCTTGCTTGCACTTTCCCCCTTCTTCTTCTCCTCCTCCTCCTCCCACAGTATCTCTCCCACCTGCCTTACACAGGATATTGTGCTTTACTCTCGCTTGTCTTCCTCCCAAGCTGAATGGGCAGAGTGCTTTTTTGTGGCCTATTTTCCCCAAAACTTTTTTTTGGGTGACTTGTGGTGCGGCCTGATTCAGCTGTCCTCATTGAGTCTTGCAAAGAACAGAGAAAAGATGGATGATGCTAACCACAAAAATAGAGAGCATTGCTCTCATGAGCATTCAAAGTTTAGGTCCAAACTGCCCTGAGTGCTTTTATTTTTTTTATTATTTGTTTATTTATTTAATCAATCTCAGGCACCTTTTAATATAGTGCAACAGTTGGGTTATGGGTATAACTTCCCATACATGTCCTTCTCCATTTCTTCTAAATTTTTTTTTTCTTCTTGTTTGTTTCAAAGAAGTCTTTAATGCTCACCATGGCTGCATTTACACTGAACAAAATTATAAACGCAACACTTTTGTTTTTGCTCCCATTTGTCATGAGCTGAACTCAAAGATCTAAGACAGATTTGTGAACAATATTTGAGAGAAATAAGCCTTTTGTGTACATAGAAAAAGTCTTAGATCTTTGAATTCAGCTCATGACAAATATGGGCAAAAACAAAAGTGTTGCGTTTATAATTTTGTTCAGTGTATGTGATCAAAACACAGTAAAAGCAGCGATATTGTGAAATATTATTACAATTTAAAATAACAAAAAAAAAAAACATCTTTTTATTGATGTTGAAAATGGTTTTGCTGCTAAATTTTTTTATGGAAAGCATTTTTTCCAGGATTTTTTGATGAATAGAACGTTCAAGTTCCTGTATGAAATATAAGTCATATGAAGAATTATGTAGCATGTTTTTACTGTCACTTTTAATCAGTTTAATGCATGTTGAATTAAAGTATTATTTCTAAGAATATATATATATAATATAATATATACAAAAAGACTCATGGCTGTATTAGATCAAATGGGTGCTTCTACTAAATACTGAGCATTTTTCAGTTTTTCTTTTTTAATAAATTTGCAAAAATGTCAACAATTCTGTGTTTTTCTGTCAATATGGGGTGCTGTGTGTACATTAATGAGGAAAAAAAATTAACTTAAATGATTTTAGCAAATGGCTGCAATATAACAAAGAGTGAAAAATTTAAGGGGGTCTGAATACTTTCCGTACCCACTGTATGTATATTCTTTAAATATGTATAAACAGTGACAGTAAAAAAAGAAAAAAGAAAAATCTAATATAATTTACTGCTGTTTTTTGGATTGTTATTATCTATACTTCGTGGGTTTGTTGTTCATTACTTATTTGTAATGTGATTCATCTTGGAACTAGTACGTTTTGGTCATGGAACTGAAAATGATATGGTCATGGTTGCACTCTATTGTAAAATATTATATAAAATCAGCTTTAACTATAAATGTGGTATAAATTGGGCATTTTCTTCTCAAATCAGAGGTACTGTTGTTTGTTACACTTATGCCATAAAATGAAAGCGTTCTCAAAGCATTTTAGCTGTTCAAGGCACCTGTTAGCAGAACCTGAGTTGAGCAGAGTCATGGTGTTTTTCTTTTCTTTTTTCTTTTGCCATTTCTCACAGCCTTTATTTTGTGCTTTGTGTATCAGTGGTCTGAGGCTGCTGCTGAGTGGAGAACTGGACTGGTGCTGTGCTCTCTGGACGTGTGGTGAATGTCTTTACAATTACCTTGAAGCTGATCCCTGCTGTGATTCTGTTCTGTAGCAGTAGTTGTGCATTGCGTTCTGAATCTCTGAAAAATATATTTTACTTCACTGTATCTCACAACTCACTGTAGTTTGCACCTAATTTTACTCTAGTACACTGTGCTCATCCAGTGTTTTTCTCCTCCTCTTTGACATTTGACCTGAATTAAAATGGACCTCAAGTGGGTAAATGTCTTGTTTCTTCAACAACAGTAGGTCCTCATACTGTAGATGTGTGGTGCATCTGAGCCGTGAACAGTTTGCTGGTACTAGTGTGGCCATATGCAGTCCAATCTGTGCTCAAATAATTATTAGGAACAGAAGGGCAGAGTATGAACGCAAGAGAGGTTATGCGTGCGTGTCGCTCTCAGTTTCTGCTCAGAACATTCTGTCCATGTTTGCCGCTAATGCAGAATGCTTAGCCAGTGAACTCATGGTCACATTTTTATGGAAATACTTGTATATTAATAAGGTGCTGTTTGTGTAAAATTTAAAAAAAATGTGATATTTGTTTAGGTGATTCAAACATTTGTGGCCCAGTGGGAAAAGATTCAAAAGTACAATATACTCTAGGTTTTTTACTTTATGCCAAAATGTAAACGCTAAGTTTAATTACACGTTTGTTTTGAAAATTGTTGCACAGTGGTTCAGATCTTCTTTGAAAACAGAAAGATTAAGAGATGATTTTGTTTTGTGTTTAAAGAAACCGATTCTGTCTTTCATGAATTAAACATCAGTTGTATGCATGCTAGATCGCTGAAGGGCTTTCCTCAGAAAATTGGGACAGTCTGAAATGATTTGAGGACCTGTTTTTAGTTAACTATTTCAGAACAGCATTACTGACCAAGATTCAACTTCTTTCATGTCCGCACTGAAGAAGCACATAACCAAATCTGTTGTAGAAACCGTTTTAGCTCTCCAATATTTTGTGATTGAGTATTTAAGTGTTTGGCTTCAAATGAAACCTGCAAATGACAAATTATCCCTGCTTTTGATACATATCGGAGATTGTTTTTGTTGTTAATGTTGCTCTTCATTTTCATTTCAGTGTAACTACCTCAACAGCCATGGGAGAGGGCGTTAAGAAAGTGAAGAAACTGTCAAACGGACCATCAGAGGAGAGGGAGAGCATGGCATAATGGAAGAAACAATTCTGTCGGTTCTGTGTGCCTCTGGACTACTGACATGTGGGATATTCATGTGCAGAATTCCCAGTGGACCTTCTCTCATGATCACATGTGAAGACACCTGCGTTCCATATCCACATATATGTCTATCTCTGTAAATGTTGCACAGACAGTATGGAGAATTCACAATAAGGCACTCCATGATTCCTTTTGCCACTGTAGTTTTAGTTGACATGCTTGGTGCTGTGCTTTATTTTTATTTTACCTTGATGATTGTGTGTGTGTGTGTGTGTGCGAATCTTTTTTTTATTTGGTTCTTTTTTAAATTTATTTATGACCTTCTTGCACATTGCTTGATCTTGGACACTCTGTGGCACTTTAACAGATAAACTCTAGTCAAGTGAAAGCTTATGTGAGGTCACTGCGACGTGCAGAAAACGGCGTGCCAGTGAAGTCTCTTTCAGCTATTATTTAAATTAAATTAATTATTTCCTGCTTTGAGTTCTCAAAATGAATCATTTTTATGTAAATATGCAGGCCCTTAAAACATACATAACCCAGATTCATGTTACAAAAAATAAGATGTACAGTTTTCAAGCTTAGTCAGATTTGATGACAGCTGCTTTGTATTTTTTTTCAGTATTTGTGAGTTAATAAGTATGGATGACGATGGATTTTCATGAAATAAATCCAGTGTGTCCAGAAACATGTATTTCAAATGTATTAATTGCTTATTTTCGGTTATCTTTGAGCAAGCTTTATGAAATTGTGTTTCAGTATTAAATTGTGCAATGGTTTCATTTGTATTTGTCTTTTATATGTTGTTATAAGTGTGTAAATACCATGTGTATATATCTATTCGTATCAGTGTTTTTAAGCATTCTGTATACATGAAGATTTTGTTTTTCAACATAAGGAATACACAGGAGAGGACTGGTATTACATAAGGAGAAAATTTTCCACACCTCTTTATATTTACAAAAAGTGATCATAACAAACACTGTAATGCTAAAGCAAGTATTATTCTGATTTTATTACATTTAGACTAAGTGGCGAAGAGTGGATATAGCTACTGTATATAATGCATCTATTGACAGTATAAGGTTGCGCTGCAGAGGCGAGGCTCACGCAGCCTCTCCAGGAGAAATCAAAACGCGCAACACTAAGAAACTCAGCATCCTGAGGTAAAAATTCGAAATGGAAAGTTTTTATATTTAAAATACAGTTAGTTAGGCAACATCACACAACGTTTTCACCATTACGACTGTTTAATAGTTCTATAAACAGTTCAATAAGCAAATACAATAATAGTAAATCACTTACATTTTAGGCGGAAACAGCGCATCTCACAGCAACCAGCCGATTTCATTGCTGATTGATTCCGTGTTTTCAACGCATCGGTTGAGTCAAAGTTCCATTAGCCCATGCATAAACATCTGATGAATCTGCCATTTGAACGAAT